GTGTGCCGGGAGCAGCTGGAGCACATGGTGGCATATGTCACCAGCGAGACGTCCCCGTCCGACATCAGGCTGTTCTTGGACGTGTGGTGGGAGGTGATGAAGCACAAGGAAGGGCAGGAGGACGTGACAGTCTCTGCGTTCGGTGCTCTCATGTGCCAGCACGGGGGTGAGTCCTCTCTGGACGATGGTCTGCAGCCCCCAAAGAGGTTCAAGGGTGACCCTGTGAACATCCCCCCAGCTGCCCCCAGGCTGTTCATGGTCCTGGTGGAGGGGTTGAAGCAGATCCACGGGAACATCACCCAGCCCCGCATGCAGTGCTACGCCCTGGCCAACCTGGCCGAGCTGCTCTCCGTGTTCACTGAGCTGGAGCCAGCGGGCAGCTCCCTCCCCACCACAGAGTACCTGCACAAGGTCAGTGCCACGGTCAGCCTCTGGACCAGCGACCCTGACAGCCAGTTCCACCACAGCGAGCTGGGAGAGAAGGTGAGGGAAGCAGAGAGAACCATGAGCCTCCTGTCTGTGACCAAACTCTCCCGTGATGAGCTCTTTGTTGGCTTGGAGTTCCTCTGCAGCTTGTTGCGTGCCTGGGGAGAGGAGCTGCAGGATGCTCTGAGCAGCTCCGAGCAGCTCTGCTATGAGAGCTACCGGCTCCTGGACACTCTGACCACCCTTGGGAAGAACCTGGTTTGCTTCTCGGAGACCAGAGACGTGGGTGAGGATGAGACACGTGTAGTGTTAGAGCTGACACAGGTCACCAAGGACTTTCTCAAGGAGAGCAGTGCCAGCCCGAAGAGCAAGGATTTGGCCACCACCAGCCTTGTGTCTTCAGTTGCCATGGCAATCATTGCTCAAAAGCTGGACCGGCATGCAGACATGTGCTCTGTTTTTGCATCTGAAAAGACCTGGGCCTTTTCAAAGGCCTGGGTTGACTGCCTTGTGCAAAATAAAGCTCTCTTCCAGAAACCAGAGCTAGTTTTGAAATTGCTGGAGACACTGGTGAGCTTTGCTACATCCTGTCAAGACAAGGAGGCCCGAGAGCTGCAGGTGCAAGTGACCAAAGCCATCATGGACTGTTACACTGAGCTTTCATTAACTGACAAAAACAAGGTGATCTCGGGTGTCCTGACGTCCTGGGGTGGACCAGGTCTGTCCCTGAACTTGCAGGTTGTCAGGGAAGGGTTCCAAGAGGATCTGAATGTGACTTTCAACCAGATCACAAAGAGTGTGTCCGATGAAGGCCTGACCAGGGCTGTGGCTTCTGTGGCCAGGCTCATGCTGCTGTACCCCGAGGCTACGGTGAAGCAGGTTTGTCATCTTGCTGTGGTCAACCTAGGAGCACACCAGTTCCTCACACAAATCCTCTGCTCCTTCCCAGCACTGAGGTTCCTGGAGACCCAAAAGGATCCAGGCAGGCCACACAACCTGGTGGTGAGGTGTCTGGAGGAGGCAGTATGGGGGAAGCTTTCCACTGTGAGGGAAGAGGAGCAGTTCCTTCAGTTCCTGACCTTTCTCATGCAGCCAGGCTCTGCCACCCCACTTGTGTCACCTGCAGAGGTGACCAAAGCTTTTGTCCTTCCCTATTTGAAGTCAGACTCTCCTCAGATTGAGCTGAGCCTACAGGTCCTCAGTAAGGCTTTGGGAATACAGCCCTGTTCAGAAGAGCACTGGATCAAATCCTGTCACCCATTCCCACTTCTACTGAGCCTCTGCAAGCTACTAGATGGTTACACCAGGTACTGGCATCAGCCTACGGAGCAGCTCTTCCCTTCACTGGAGACCAAAGACCTGATTCTGAATATCCTCTGCCAGCTCTGCGAGGTGGTGGGACCAGAATCTGCCCCCTCCCCGGAGCTGTGGGTCCAGTCCCTGGCCTGGCTCCACAGGAAGGTGGCATCCCTGGACTGGACCGTCGGGCTCAGACTGAAGAAGCTTTATGGAGACCACTTCAAGAACGAGGTCCCGGCGACACTGTTCGAGATCTGCACCCTCCCTGAGGGCGAGTGGACATCCCAGTCTTTGCCAGCCTACGGACCGGGCAGCGGGCTCCTGGCGTGGATGGAGTGCTGCTGCGTGTCCCCAGCGCTCAGGGACACGATGCTGGCACTCCTCACCGTCAACGTGGACAACCCTGAAGAAGTGAACCTCTTCAGCAAAGGGTTCCTGGTGGCCCTCATTCAGGTGCTCCCCTGGTGCAGCCACAGCGAGTGGAAGAGGCTCATACACGTGGTGGAAAACCTGCTGCAGAGGCAGGTCCTGCACGTGCCCTACACGCTGGAGTACGTGCAGTACATGCCCCTCCTCAACCTCCGCCCGTTTGCCTGCTACCTCCAGCTCTCCGTGCTCTTCCTGAGGGGCTTCCAGCTCCTCTGCAGCTCCAGCTGCTCCACCTGGCTGCCCCCAGAGGCCTGGCTCCACGTGGTGCAGCTGTACTGCGGCAGCCTGACGGACCTGCTGACCTCCGTCAAGGGCACGGCGGGACCCCCCTCGCAGCCCGCCGGGGACGGGACCTCCCCGCAGGAGGTGTCCTTCGTCTGCATCCAGATGTTCTGCCACCTGCTGCACGTGGCTGCCATGCTGCCGGGCCAGGGCTGCGGGGAGCCCCTGGTGGTGGTGGCCCTGGAGATCCTGTCGCAGTACGAGGCGTTCAGCAACGCCGACACGTCCCCCAGCAACACCCTGCGGAGGGCTAATGAGAGGCACTTCCTGGAGGCCATCACGGACAACGTGGGGGACAGGGAGCTGCGCAGCACCCTCCTGCAGAAGCTCAGCAAGCTGGGGGCACACCTGGCCGGGGAGCCGGATTGAGGAGCTGGAGAGGGTGACAGAGGAGAGCACTGACAAGGGACCCCTTACCTGGACGGTGTAAGATCTGTAATAAACCCTATTTTTCACTTTCGTATTTATTTCCTCCCTGCTGTGTTTTCTCCCACCCTGCCTAAGCGGTGGAGGGGCTGTGTAAAGATGGGTAGGAGGAACCACTTCAATTTTCCATGGGAATAACTGTGGACACGAGCTGGCAGTTCTGTGGCTCCAGCCTTGCCTCCTGGCAGTCTGGATTTACAGAGAGCCGGGCAGCCTCCAGCATCAGGGAAATTGTTTCCTTCCAGCTCCTTTGCTCTCTCCTAGTCCTGGGAGGACTGCTGGGTTTGCCAAGTGCTGCCAGAGGCTGGGAAGCAAGTTGGAGGCTGGGAAGCGAGTTGAGTGAGTTCAGGACAGGGAGGAACCTTTAGAAATACACGTGGTTTGCTCCTGCCCGGAGGTGGGGGTGCAGCAGTAACACTGTGTGTAACACCCCCACCCAGAAACAAATGGCACGTGGGAGAGCCAGCCAGTGGTGTGACTCAGAAAGGAAATCTTTATTGGTCTCCAGATAGTAAATAGGGTAGTGTTAGTGCAAACTGAGGTGCCTCATTGGCTGGGGGTTTTTTTCTGTCCTTACATAAGGCACGTTATTCGCAATGAAAACAGTGAGATACAAACATCTGTAACGAGTTGCAAGCGGTTTATAACATCAGCTGGTCTCGGTGGTTACTGTAACAGCGGCACTTCTGCAACAAGTTGGAAGAGGCCCTCTTTCCTTTTTTTTTTTTACTCTATCCAGAACAACAGCCGTGACTGGGACGAGATACAACACCCAGAAGATCCAGATCTTCCAGAGCTTGGCCGCTGGTTTCAGACAGAATGAAAGGCACAGCGTGGTCACCGGTCTCCCAGGTGTGGGCCCATGCCAGGACCATGCCAGGGCTGGGCTGGTGCAGTTCCCTGCCCTGGAGCAGGCACGGGAGGCTGTGGGGAGGAGGCAGCTGCCCTGGCTTGTGCTGGTGGCCGCAGGGAAGGTACAGAGCTGCACTGAACTGCTGTGGTCTGATTGCACACACCCGCAGGGCTCGTGAACCCTGTGGTGCAGGGCGAGCCGGGCAGCCTGAACCCATTTTGCTGTGACTGAAGGTGGGAATGGGCTGAACTGGTGAAGGAAAACCAGCTCAGCATCCTGCTCTGGGGTTGCTGGTTCCTTCTGCACTGCCCCACTTCCGTCCCTGGCAGCCTTGTGGGGGAGTAGGATGGGGCTGGAGGGATGCACCGTACAACCGGAGCTTGGGCTGTACCACAGCTGCTGCCGGGGCGTGGTGGTGCCAGCTGGAGGGCAGAGCAAGGCAGGGTGTGCCAGATGGTCTTAAATACCTGCTGAGGGGTTATGTGGGGCAGATAAAAGCAGCTGTGGTTAGGGGAGGGGGTGAAAATTGCATCCCTTGCCAAGAAAGGGCTCTGCACAGTGTCCTGTGTGTTGGTGAGATGAGGACTTGGCAGGTTCCCATCCCCATCCTGCCCTTCAGCCGTGGGCACCCTGCCCTGCCAGTGTTGTTTGTGAGACAGTGCAACCGTCGCCCTGTCCTGGTGTGAGCTTCCCTCCAGCCCTGCTGGGAACACCGGAGCCCCCCAGCCTCAGGACTGTCAGACAGACAGACAGTTGTAATGAAAAGCACCTTCGGGTTAAGTGGAGCTTTAAATGAGCTTGAGCCCAGCAGCAGCAGCAGGAGGTGCACGTGGAAGGTCAGAGGCTGAACAGGGCTGTAGTGTAGAGGTGAAGTCGGTAAAGGTCAGGAACGGCTCTGCAGAACTGTGCTGCAGCTCCAGGCCTGGCTCTGCTCTCGGCTGGAGGCTGAGCTGGAGCTGGAAGAGTGAGCTGGGGCTGCGGCAGGTCTGGCACACAGCTCCCCATCCCCATCCGTTCTGCTGTAAGGGCTGGATGCTGCAGGATCCCCTCCTCTGTCTGCAGGCTCCTCCACACCACCGTGCCGGTGTCTGGTGTCAGCCCTGGAACATGCAGCGGGGGGGTTGTAACAAACCCCTCTCGTGTAACCGTTAGTTCCGTGCCACGGCGTTGAACCCCAGAATGGAATGTTGTGCTTACGATCCAGCTCCCACCCCGGGCTCCCACGGGCGGGTCGACACAAGGCGCTGGAGCGGTGTGGGAGGAAAGCCTTCCTAGCCCAGGCTGGCGCTGCCTGGCACGGCAGTGGAGACGTGAGGCTGCTTCCAGCTGGGACAGCCCCGCGCTATCCCTGCTCCCGCTCTGGTCC